ACATAGGAGGCTTGGAAGGGGGCCAGGGGCTGTCAGGCTTGAAGAGCTGCTCTGCCAGCAGCTCCCAGGGCCAGGCCGTTCTGGGGACCAAGGGGCTGGCCAGATCCAGGCAGCGGGGGGTAGTTGGCTGTAGGCCTGGGGGGTGATGGCTGAGGGAATGGAACTGAATGGTAGAGTCACTGTAAGCTCATGCCACAGACTCGGGCATCAACCCAGCCCTCACATCTCATGCATCTTACGCTGTGAGGGCCTTTTATATAAGACTTCAGTGACTGGGACATTCTCAGCTCTGTTCAGGGGCTAGTGCCTATGGCCCTTCCCATCTAGGGTGACCAGATAACAAGTATGAAAAAATCAGGACAGAGTGTGGGGAATAATAGGCACCTATATAAGAAAAATCCCCAAATATCAGGACTGTCCCTATAAAATCAGGACATCTGGTCACCCTATTCCCATCAGAACTGGGGTTTGTCACTCTCTCACTACTGGTGTTAAGTGTTATAGACTCCTCAGGCAGGGGTCACCCCTGGTTGTGTGTTTACATGTGGCCAAGTGATCCTGATACTGGCTTTTTTTGGGAGAGGGGGCTACTGCAGTACAAACAATAACCCCAGCGAAAATTCACATCTGTTTCTATGCAGTGTGCTCTACCCCAGTTGACCATCTTATTTCCATCCCAGTGCAAGATTAAATCAGTTTTCTACGTGCAGTGAACTTTGTTACATGATCTTCGATTTACTGTATAATCACTGGATTATTTGTTATATATTTCAAAGTGTTCATGCATCGCCTCTAAGAGCACAGCATTAAACATAAATTATGCTAATTATGCTTACAGTGAGTTGTATAACAATACCATCCCAATGTATTTGAATGATCAGATTGCTAGGAACAATGCATCAAAATTAACATGATGCTGAATAATGTTGGATGATGGTCAGTCCTGACCATTGTTCGGTGAAGTTAATGAAGTTTTTGCTCACATATTTACCTGGCAGAGGAGATACCAGGATCATGAAGGTGGTTTTCTCAGGGTGAGGCTCATCCATTGAACTGCGGGTCTGCTGACCTCTGCGATTTCACCAAATATAATTTATAATTTGTAGTAGTGAGGGACTGCATTCACACTTTCCGCTGGCTTTTTTGGGGACTTCGATAGGTGTAACATATCTTGAGGTGATATCTTGTTTTCTTTTCCTTTACAGTACTGCTCTGGGCCCTCCTCCTACCGTCAGTCATCACATGGCATAAATGTCACTTTGGTTTCAATCCAGCAGTGGGTTCCACACAGGAAAATCCTTGCTTCTGTGTCATTAGGGGTCCGCTGCGTGGATCTGATTGCAGGATCAAGGCCTTAATAGTGAGAGGCCCATGACCAGAAGGTGTTACTGATGACAGTAGGCTGAGATCTCTTAATGCAGCTGGGGTGATTGGCTGCAGGCCTGGGGGTGATGACTTTTGCCTGAATCCTTTTCAAATTCAGGTGTAACATCACATGGAGAGTGTGTTTTTTTTTCCTATGCTGTTAATGTTATGCAGTTTTATTGTCTATAATTTAAAAGCATTTGGGGGGCCTTTGTGTGCTATGGAAATATCAGGTTTATATTTTGGCAAACATAATTAGTGTAGAAGGATGATACAAAAAAGTTCTCAGGTGTAGCAGGAAGAGTTAAATTTAAAAATCTACATATATGCATAGATTTTAAGACATTATGATCATCTAGTGTGACCTGCATGATGCCCCAGGAACTCACCCAGTAGTTTCAGCATTAACCCCAGAGCTTCGCTTTCAGCTGTGGCGTACATTTGAAAAATACAGCTAGTCTTGATTTAAAAGATTTGTGTGATGGTGAATCTACCGCATCTGACATCACATACGTAATATTAGAAAATATCTAATATCACTTGATGCCTGGGTGACGTTTATGGAAGCACTGCACAGCTTTTTGAATGGTAGCTTCTTTTATTGCCCTATGGTCTTTATGAGAGAGAGAGAGACAGACACAAGTACCACTGTCTGAGAAAAAAAATTAGGGACTAATATGTTGCTATTTCTTTAGAATTTGCCCTTGTTTTGGAAAGGAAATTGTAGGTCTGTTGATGATCTTTGATATTTCTTTAAAAAAAAAATCTCCTCCCCCAACACCTTGGAGTCCAAATGTGTCCAAAACAATATTTAGTTAATTTTAATAAATATTAGACATAAATAATTATTAATTCAGCCTAACTTTTCTTTTGTCTTTTAGTTTTAAACAGAAGGGGAAAATGTCACTTTATGATGACCTGGGAGTGGAAACCAGCGATTCGAAAACAGAAGGCTGGTCCAAAAATTTCAAACTACTGCAGTCTCAGTTGCAGGTGAAGAAGGCGGCTCTCACTCAAGCAAAGGTACAGATATTGCTGCTCCTGATGGCTCAAGGTTGCTGGCCATTGGGAATGCTGTCTTTTTCAATTTTTCGCCTGAAATGCTGGTCTCAGTAGGATTTCCTTTGTACTGAGCACACTGCGGAGCGTACATGTCCCCAGCTGTACTGACTTTTGGATGCATTGTCAGGCTTTGTCCTTCAGTTGGTAGTGGGCGGCACTAATAGAATACTCTTGGGGGAATTCTGCGCCAAAAAATTAAAAATTCTGCACACAATATTTCAAAATTCTGCATATTTTTTGTCAAAATACCGCAATATAATCAATCTGGCTTCAATATTTTGGTAATTTATTTAAACTGCAATACAGTGGATGGAGAATGGGAGTGGGGAGCATTGGAGGAAATCACCAAACCCCTTCTGTCTAATAGTAATGTAGCTAGTATTGACCCTTTGCTTTTAGTTATTAGTCAACAAATATATGCAGCCATATGCTCAGTGTTACATCATAGGCAACTGAAGAGCAAGTGAGGACCGAGGACTCAAACTCACAATTTATACTGGCTACTGACCATCTCCAAAAAGGTCAGTAGCAAACAGTTCATGGAGTACATTTTGATAGGAAATTTTTTCAGTCCAAAAATTTAGACCAGTTCTAACCACTGAAGAACCATAAGTATTTATAAGGCCATACTGTCCTTTACAATAAGACTCCTTTACATCACTCTGGCAATGTAAAGGAGCCTTAAAATTTTTATACTCCTGGGGGAATTCACTAAGAACAATGGGAACAATTCACTAAGCAGGCAGGCTGCTATGTTCTGCTCTGCCTGAGGGAACAGAGCCTGCCCCGCACCTGCCTCTTCGAAAATACCCCAAAGCCCTGCCCCTCCACGCCGAGCATGCCGCAATAGCGAGTGAGAGGGACAGTGTCTCTCTCGCTCTCTTTCACGCACAACTGCCCACTCCTCCCCCCGTGGTGATTTACATCTCTACCTGCTGCTGTGGGTGCCCAAACTGACCTGCCTGCAGTGCATGACTGCTCTTGTGGCTTCCCTTTCCTTCCCCGTCAGAAGTCATTTTTCTGCAGGGAAGCAAAGAAATCTGCGGGGGCCATGAATTCTGCACGCATGCAGTGACACGGAATTCCCCCAGGAGTACACAGTAGAAGCAAGAACAAAGAGGTATAAGTTCTCTGAGACCCTTCATGTAAAGTATAGCATAATCAATATATGCACAGCATGGCTGTGGGAGCTGCTCTCATTTCTTAAATAAATAATGGAGTTGAAGTGTTGACATGGAGCCCAAATTTAACCCTGAAGACATTAAATTAGGCACTTAAGAATTTTAAAAATAAGTGAATAGGCAAGACTGCTTCAGCCTGTGATGGGAAATTGGAGATGTTCAATATTTTGTGCTTCTTGGTATTTGGTAACTATTGCTGTTGACCAACTTGCTGCTCTTATTCAGACAAAACTCCACTAAGGAGATCCTCTCAATTTGAAAGGTATATTTTCAGTTCTAGACTTAGAAAACCAAACACACTTCCGGTCTGATCCTGCTCCCATTGAAGTTAATGGCAAAACTCCCATTGACTTCAGCGGGGTAGGATCAAGCCCTTTAAGAATAGTCATGGTTTATGTAGGATCTGTGTTCCTGTATAAGCTTTACAGCGGTAGTCAACAAACTCTAGCCATAGAGCTGTATTGTTACCCGTGGTGCTGGTGCATAAATAACATATGAAATGAACAATCACAACATCAAGCACTGTTAGAAATGCTGAGGAAGAACTATATGTTGGTAAAATGAAAATGCAAGTGGTATGGTGAGTTTTGCATGGGGCAGAGAGGCAGGATTGAGGCCTGAGACTATATTCATCCGTTTTTAAGCTTTCTTGAAATCAAGAAACATCTAGTTTAGGAATATGAAGTAAATACCCCTTTTTTTTAAAAATGAATGTATTGTCTTCTCCTGCTTTTTTTGTATTTTGATGGTTTCAGAGTCAGAGGACAAAACAAACGACAGTCCTTGCTCCAGTGATTGACCTGAAGCGAGGGAGCTCTTCTGATGACAGACAGATTGTAGACACACCACCTCATGTAGCTGCTGGCTTAAAGGTAAGGCTAGATCAACTTGAAAACACACCAGATTGCATCTGATTCTGAATTCTCGTTTTCTTTCCCTGCCTTCTGTAGTAGTCTGCATTTTACTTATTAATTTACTTGTCCTACTGCTCTAAGCTGTTCTCCTTGCTTTTAGCCTCTCTTCTGTTCAGACTTATTTTCACTCATGAACATTCCAAATGTATGCAAACTTCTCCCGGTGCTACAGTCTGTAAATCTATAGCTCACTGAGGGCTTGTCTACATGGGGGGGAGTGGGGGAGGTTATGTGCTCTATAGGGATGTGATTTCTAAAGTTCACTGATACGTTGCACATCAACTGGCCCATGTAAACCCTGTTGGTGCGCTTTAACATAGTACTGTTTGAAACAGTATAATGTTAAAGCACAGTAAGGAACCTTTAGTGTGCACCAGGAGAGTATACACAGGCCAATTAATGTGCAACTCATCAGTGCGCTTTAGAAATCATAACCTTATAGAGCCCATTACCTCACTGTGTAGACAAGCCCTTAGTGTTCTTAATTGAACTAAAAAGTATGTGTTTACATAGCACCTTTCTTCTGAGGAGCTCAGGGCACTTTGCAAGCAACCCTCTGAGGTAGGTAGGTTGAAAAAAAAATTTAAATTGTGACCCTACCATGCTTGGAAGTGGTCTTTTATAACAAACAGAAGAAATCTAATGTTTGACCATTAAGTAAGAAAAACTATTAAGTGCTTGGTAATGGGTCAAGACAAACTTTCTTAATGAAGCTTTTTTGAAAGTTACCTGCTGCAAAGCAGATATTCCTTCCAGATGGAATAAGAATGGTTGAGGATGTCAGTCCATAATATACACCTCTACCCCGATATAACGCTGTCCTCGGGAGCCAAAAAATCTTACCGTGTTATACGTGAAACCGCATTATATTGAACTTGCTTTGATCTGCCAGAGTGCGCAGCCCCGCCCCCCCGGAGCACTGCTTTACCGTGTTATAGCCGAATTCGTGTTCTATCAAGTCAGGTTATATCGGGGTAGAGGTGTAGCAGCAGACAGATGAAAGAAACCTGTGAGCTTGCATCCAAGCATCCCTCACAGCCCTACGCATGCAGGTTATAGTTTCGGATAGAGAACTTATTGGGTATTAATGTGACCTTCGCTATGCTTGTTTGGCATCTCTTTGTGTTTGGAAGGGAGTGGGTGGGTTAGTTGTTTTCTGCACACAAAAATTTGAGAGGAAAATGACATAGGGTAAAATGTGGGCCCCATTGAAGTCAATGGCAAAACTCCCATTGACTTCAATCGTACTAGGATTTCACCTTCTTGTTGGTAGTGGTAAAAACCGCTGGCTTATTCCAACTGCTGCTCTCAGGTGGCTGATCACATTGATATTTATGCTTTTTCTGTGTAAGGATCCCGTACCTAGTGGGTTTTCTGCAGGAGATGTGCTGATTCCTTTGGCTGATGAATATGATCCTATGTTTCCCAATGATTATGAGAAAGTAGTAAAACGCCAGAGGGAGGAACGACAAAGACAGCGTGAGCTGGAGAGGCAAAAAGAGATTGAAGAAAGAGAAAAGTAAGACTTTAGTTTGGGTTTCTGCAATGGGACACTTTTATTCAGCATTCAGTTAAAAGAAGTTAATTGCATATTGTTATTCATGGCTTCTCAAAGCATGAGAGAAAACATTCCTCAATCCGGGTAAAAGCATTGGTGTAATTAAAAAAAGCATTTACTCTACAGCTCTTTGGTTCCTGTATGATAGTATATTTTAAATTAGTAGCTGATTAATCTTATTGGATAGCTGGCAGATGTTTCCCCTGCTATTTCAATACAATATTGAAAACATGTCCAGCTTTATTAGTAGGATTAATGGGCCAAATTCCTCCATAATGTGTGTCCTCTGTAGTCAATGAAGTTACAAGAGGGATAACCTAGGTCCTACTTCTGCCAATTCCCTCCGCCTTTCTGGTCAAGTAGACTGCTTCCTCTTCTTTTAGTCGTGATCACCACCCTGCCAGTGACAGACTCTCTCTGAGGCCCTTTCATGTTGTTCCTTATTTGGCACAAAGGGTCACTGAAATCTGAATTAACCTTAAGGTAACTCTACACTCAGGCTGGACGGGTAGTTTCCAGCTTGGTTAGATGTGCGCACACTAGCTTTGAGTGAGCTAGCATGCTAAAGGCAGGTGTGGCTGGACAGGTTAGCTATCGGAGTAAGTACTGAGGGTCCTGGGGAGGTTTGTACTCAGAGTAACTGGCTGCCCCTGCCTGTGCTGCCATGGCTGTACTGTTATTTTTAGATACTATCTTGATCAAAGCGAGCACATGTTCATCTACCCAAGCCGGAAATTATACCTCCAGCTGCAGAGTTAGAGGCACCTTTATCTACAGCTTCGCCATGGATTTCCAGGGCTCCTTTTTATTTTTCTGTAAACCCAACAAAAGAGAGGGAAAAAATACATAATGAATGTTGATGGCTCTACAACAGTGGTGGGCAACCTGCGGGCCACATGCAGCCCGTCAGGGTAATCCGCTGGTGGACCGTGAGACAGTGTTTACATTGACCGCCTGCAGGCACAGCTGCCTGCAGCTCCCAGTGGCCGCGGTTCGCCATTCCCGGCCAGTGGGAGCTGCGGGAAGCGGCGCGGGCCGCAGCGACGTGTTGGCCGCCGCTTCCCGCAGCTCCCATTGGCCAGGAACGGCGAACCATGGCCACTGGGCGCTGCGGGCGGCCGTGCCTGCAGACGGTCAATGGAAACACTGTCTCGGGGGCCGCATGCGGCCTATCAGGTTAATCTGTTGGCGGGCCGTGTGCGGCTGGCGGGCCGTGTGCGGCTGGCGGGCTGCAGGTTCCCCACCACAGCTCTACAACCTCAGGAAACAAACCATCTTCAAAAAATGATTTTATGTCATGAGATTTGAACATGAGATTACTCTATAATGTGTTTCAATAACCAAATCTGCACTAAGCGTGTATGCATTGTTGCGGCAACACAAATATTTGTATGGTGCAGTCTCTAGAAAATATATTTGGGGATATTTGCTCTTTAATACAGTGCGTCTCTTGAGAGTATTGTTTGTCAGGTGCCTCAATGATACCTAACTGTGGGACCTCTATTCTTAACTAACCCTCTGTTAGCACAACTTTCATGGCTAGTGCTGTGGGTGGGACTTTTTTCCCCTTTGTGTTTGAGGCTTGTAATGTCTTACAAATACCTACTTTTTTCTTTCTTAAAAGAACCACAATCAGGGCTGTCATGATCCCCATTTAAGATTGTATTAAAGTACATGCAGATATTACATGACTTAAAACATGACCCTAAGGTCAAAACAAATATTTTTATTTTACTAATCTACGTTTTCACCAATTTGAGATTTATACATGGTGAATGTTTTGGCTCATTGAACCATTTTAATCTTCTTAATCTTTGACGTTCTTAATCTTTGTAGCAGAAAGCCAGTAATGCTGTAGGCATACTGTTCAAAGCAAGACAATCAGCTATGGTCTTCTGTTACCTTCCTGGTAATTACATCCTGCATTTCTTCCATTGCAACCATCTAAATTTGAGGTTTGGTCTGCAAACAGATCCAGCTGTGCGGATCTTCATTTCTGTGCATTCTCAATGACTAGATTTCAGTGTGAAAGTAAGTGTGAATATCTGCTGGAGGATTGGACCACATCTAGTGTTTAAAAAATGATTTTTCTATAAGCAGAAAATGTGAAAACCGGAAAGAATCAATCAAAACAGGCAGTGTGCTTACAAGAGACATCTTGGCTGATAAAGCATCATATGAAATGCAGATTAGGAGCTAGTAATGTAATTCACACTGCAAACGTTTCTCTGAAACGTTAGTTCTTTTTTCACTTGATAGTTTCTTACCATAATTCCTATTCTAATTATTAGGAGACGTAAAGACCGGCATGAAGCCAGCGGGTTTTCAAGAAGACCAGATCCAGATTCTGATGAAGATGAAGATTATGAGAGAGAGAGGAGGAAAAGAAGTAAGAGTAGAATTGTCTAACTTTATGTCCTCGGGCAAATCAAATACTCTGCAATCAGGTTCTTTCTGTTTTGCTGTAAACTATTCCTCTCTTCTCACCCCAAGAATCTAGTGACCATTGGCCTCCTATAATACATTTGTCACTTTATTATGGAGTAGCTGTTGTTATTTTTTAGGGGTAAAAGAGACCTTTTTTGCCTGTGAAATTCCCTTTTAACATTAGTTTTTAGATACATGCATTAGAGATTTCTGAATGATGTAGGCTCCAGTGAACAGAGATGCATAAGCTCATTCTTGTGGTTTGGTTTTAAAAGATTGAGCTTTGACTGCTCTTAATGTGTGCAATCACTGCACCTCTCCTTATTTGAAAGCCCTTGGAGCCAAATAATAAAAAGTGGCTCTGTGTGGATGGATATCGCTCTCAGTTCAGAGAAACAAAATCTGCTCTGAATTTCAGTAGCAGATTCACCGTTGGTAATACAGACCCACTTCTTTAGACCTTCATTTTTGAAACAGAGTTATGTTTAATAAAATGCTTTATGTTCTGTAATGTATGTTTAGAACTACTTTGCCATTCACACTTCCCTGACTGGAAAAGGCCCTCTGTTTCGCACTCTTGTGTTAATGTAATTGTCCTTGAGTACAGTATAATTTTTTAGTTGGCTTGATGAGCAAACAATCTTTGAGTTGAAGCTCCATTTTCATGCGGTCTTAACTGCTGCGGTCTTCCCTGCTACAGTCTTCTGAAATCACGAGTATTGATTTTAAGGCAATTGTATTGCATAATGTGTATTGTTCACATCCTCGTTGCACATCAGCTTGGTACGATATGGTACCCTTTGATATATTAGAAATCTTAAGTTTGCAACAGTTTAACTATCATCACTAAGATTTCCAGAGTCAGACGCTTTTTCCAGCCCTTTGATGCTTGTTATTGGCAGCAAGCTATATAAAAATGTGGATGCAAAGGCCTTCAGCGAGCACCATGATTTCTTGTAGGAGTCCTGGGGATGAATGTTTGCACTTCTGTGGCTGCCTTGGATTAATGTGTCCGGAAGAGTTTTGTTATCTCAAATGACAAAACACTTCATCTGCATGAATGTCTTAGATTATGTGATTTATAATTTCATTCACAGGTATGGGAGGTGCTGCCATCGCACCACCGACGTCTCTTGTTGAGAAGGACAAAGAACGTATGTATACCAAAATCAGTGGTTTGACCTTTACATTCTCTAAGCCTGGCAAAACAGTTTTAAGTCCCTACTTCAACTTTCTGCTCAGCGAGGGACAGATCCTGCACAGGCATGGCGGTCCCTGCCTGCAGTGGAACTGCTGCAGAGGGTAGGGGGACAGGATGCTAGGAACTTGAGCAGGGGATTTGCACCACCTGCATTCTTCAGAGCTGCAGTTCACGGGTTTCTTCTGTGAGGAGTGGGATCACTCTCTGATCCATGATGGCATGGATTGTGACAGCCATTCACATGCTAGATAAAGGAGGAAGTGCAGCAGGTAGACCAGCCATGCAGCTGCAGAGCTGTTTCGCTCCATATTGGTGGGCAGGGGAGGATTTCTCCCCCCTTTCCACACCCCTGGGTACTCTTGTACATGTTCTGTTTCAAGGGTCTGTGTGTGGGGATGGGAGTTTATCCCTTGGGAGGCGAGGGCTGGGTAGTTCTCAGTTTCTCAGTGAGATTCGTTTTAAAGAAAAGATTGTAATGTCTGTATCAGGACACTTAAATCAAAGCGATTTAAATCACTAAGTGGAAAGCCTCAGTTTAAATCATCAATTTAAATCAACTTTTCCATTTTTATTTCAATTATTTTCTAAAGAAAGGTGCATTTTCGTTGGCTGATATACCCAGTAAAGCCTGTTGCTTTTCAATTAAATGGAGCCTTTGCATTACTTTTTGCTACCTGGGAAGATGCATTATAACTATATATCTTTATTTAAGCAATTATATAGCTTAATATTTTCTGATTCTTATTAATTGTATATTTTTATTGTGTTAGAAAATAATGAATGATACATTTCTTGTTTACTAGATAATTAACTCTTTGCTCATGATTTACATCAAGCTGTATTAGGATGGTAACTAGAATTTAATTAAACACACAAAATAGCGCATAAAATTTACTTTTATTAAACCGTACAAGTCCTAAATATGGTACATGACCTTTTGTGCCATATTTATAAAGCTTGACCTCACAGGTTAGAATCAGTGGAAAAACATTTTTCTTTCTATAGAAAAGCAGCCTTTAACTCTGAATTTTTTATAGAAGCTTATGGATTCAGCCTATTCATTTTTATTTAAATGTTTTAAGAGATTGTGATAAGTTTAGGCCTTAACATATTTTGTACTAAATTCAGATTTCATTTCAAACAGGTTTATTTTTAAAAAGAAAAGCTTATAATTTAAATAAAATAAAAAGCACACTCAAACTTTTTTGACATTTGTTTTGTAGTTTTAGCTTTTAATTTAAAATCATTAACATCTCATTATGCATGTACAAGAATAAATGTGTTTATTTGTGAATATTTTATACATAAAGAACTCTTTCCCTTGGGAGTCCTGAAATGATTTGTCAGAATAAGGTGGTGGTGGTGGGGAGGGAATTGAGATGTGTAAAGGTTGACTAAACTGAGGGCTTGTCTACACTACCTGCTGGATCGGCGGGCAGCGATCGATCCAGCAGGGGTCGATTTATCGCATCTAGTATAGTCACGATAAATCGACTGCTGAGCGCGCTCCTGTTGACTCCAGTACTCCACCAGAACGAGAAGTGCAAGCAGAGTCGACGGGAGAGTGTCAGCTGTCAACTTACCGCAGTGAAGACACTGCTGTAAGTAGATCTAAGTATGTCGACTTCAGCTATGCTATTCACGTAGCTGAAGTTGCGTATCTTAGATCGACCCCGCGTGGTAGTGTAGACAGGCCCTAAGACTAAGTGGGGACATAACTGTCTGCAAATATTTTAAGGTTGTAAACACCAACGACAAAGAAGAATTGTTTAGTTAAGAATTGTATAGTTAAGAGCAATTGGATGCAGTCCAGGAAAGTTAAATATAGGCTGGAACTCAGAAAAAATAACCTAAGGGTGTGATTTCTTAAAGTGTGAAATGATCTCATAAGGGAATCAATGTAAGCCTTATTTCCTGAGACACTTATATCTAGACTGGACAAACCCTAAAAAAAAATTACTACAGGGAACGGTCTTGCATTTGGACAGTAGATGGACTGGATTACCTGAGTGTGAGGTCTCTTCTGTCTCCGCTTCTATGATTTCCCCGAACTGAAGTCTAACTTTTTGTTTGGGTACAATTAGTAATTAACAGAGGTAATCACTCTGAAATGAAATCGTAGTATTAAATATGCAAACAAACTCTCAAATTCACACTGGTCTGCCACTTTCCTTAGCACCACCCCAGTTTGACTTGACTTGTGAGACTGATCTGCTCATCTCACTTGGGAATCTGTTATTCCAAAGTTATCAACAGAAAAAGAGCCTTTCAACACACAGTTTTAAAGTTGCATCAGTTCTGTCTTAAGGAGTCATTCTTCCTATGCATACGAGTACAGAGCACTCCTTTTAAGCCTCTTGTTACCAAATTGTGCATAACCCAGTCTTTCCATAATTCAGTTCGTGATTAAAGAACATTTAAGTTTGGGTTCCCTCTTTCCAGAGAATTTACTGTTGAGGAGACAAATCGCCTTAAGATGCAAGTGGAGAATTGAAACAAACTAATAAAGGGCAGTTAAGTAGAGATGATAGAGCCCTTATTACCTGTAGAAACAAAGGGTACGTCCAGACTACCCGCCGTATCGGCGGGTAGCGATCGATTTATCAGGGATCGCTATATCGCGTCTCGTCGAGACGCGATATATCGATCCCCGAACGCGCTCCCCGTTGACTCCGGAACTCCACCGGAGCGAGCGGCGGTAGCGGAGTCAACGGAGGAGCCGCGGCCGTTGATCCCGCGCCGTGAGGACGGGAGGTAAGTCGGAATAAGATACGTCGACTTCAGCTACGGTATTCCCATAGCTGAAGTTGCGTATCTTACATCGACACCCCCCACAGTGTAGACCAGGCCAAAAAATCAGTGTAAGATGCCATACAAATATATCCCCAAACACTTCAGAGGTTAAACCTAGTTACAGAGAGAATTAATAGTGGAGAGGAGACATAGTAAGTTGTATGAGCAAGGAAAACAAAGGGCCTGATTCTCATTTACACTAAGACCGCGTTGTCTTACTCTGGCAGTATAAAGGACCTTAGAGGTACTGTAAATATAATTTGCCTGTTAAGAGGCCTCAGTCTAAATGAGAGAGAGGCCCATGATGGTGTTAGATGAGATTTGAAAATGATGGGAGGTGATGACATATATAGTTCATCAAACGTATTTTGACCAACCAGTAAATGTCTCATGTTTCTTCCAGCTGTACCATCTTTTCCATTTGAAGAGGAGTCAAGACCTCGTGCACCATCTGCCAAAGCAGCTATTCCTCCCCCGGTATATGATGAGCCAGAAAGACCGCGGTCCCCAACCGGGCCTAGTAATTCTTTCCTTGCTAACATGGGGTAAATATCATTGACAAGTTAACATTTCATGAGAAGTGCCTCATGGGTGGAGAGGATGAAAGTTAAAAATGTCGTGTCGGTATGGAGAAGAACACACAGTCTTTGCATGTATATTCTTCACTGTAATAACTTAATCTGAATGCATACATGCCCACCCAGCAGGAAGTGGAGTACACAATGGTTTTGTGTGAATTGGGCCAATGAGTTTGAGGAGGAGTGGCCAGTTTTTAGTGAGTTCTGGAGCCCTCTCCCGTATAAAGGTGTATGGTTTGCCCATGCCAAGCTGGTGTGGCCAATTTGTAAGTACGTATGGCTAGTTCAAGACCCCGAATGCTTTTTCCTGCTTTTGTCAGAGGTGTGTTGTGTGTAACCTTGAGCAAATCACTGACTTGTTTTCAGAGGCATTGAGCATCTCAACTCTGTTTGAAGTTAGTGGCAGCTGTGGGTGCCACACCCTTACCCACTCTGTGCCTCCCTTTACTCTTCTGTAAAAATGCTTATAATTCCACCTAGGAGAATATAGCGAGGCTTAATTAATGTTTATAAAGTGCTTGGAGACCTCAACTGGGGGGGGAGGGATAGCTCAGTGGTTTGAGCATTGGCCTGCTAAACCCAGGGTTGTGAGTTCAATCCTTGAGGGGGCCACTTAGGGATCTGGGGCAAAATCAGTACTTGGTCGTGCTAGTGAAGGCAGGGGGCTGGACTTGATGACCTTTCAAGGTCCCTTCCAGTTCTAGGAGATGGGATATCTCCATTAATTAATTAATTTATTTATTTATAACTGAAAGGTGTAATATTTATTTGTGATAACTATGGCTATATTAAACTCTACACATGTTAATTTTTATGTAGCTGCAGGATAATTACAGTACTAGCACTCACAAGAGTCACAGCCAAGAAAGTGTACAAGTATTTTATAGGTTTCAGAGTGTTAGTCTATATCAGCAAAAACAAAGAGGAGTCCTTATGGCACCTTAGAGACTAACAAATTTATTTGGGCATAAGCTTTCGTGGACTAAAACCCCTTGGGCTTATGCCCAAATAAATTTGTTAGTCTCTAAGGTGCCACAAGTATTTTATAGAATATACTAATAGCTCACTTTTTCTATATTTATATACTTTGTTTCTTATGCAGTTTTTCTAATACCATCTGAAAAAGGATTCCCCCAATCTATTGAGTCAGACCTACTTATTTTATCTGGTTAGGATTGTCTGGAGACCTTATCTTGAATCAGTGATCCAGAGCTACCAAGTACTTTTAATGTACTATATTGGTATTTGACTGTATAGTGTATTTGAGAAATAGCTAAATGGTCACTGATCTTTCATTTCTCTTTATAATCTTTCATTCCTATCAAGTAAAAAAAAAAAAAAAAATCTTTTCAGAGAGTGGGATCTTTATACTGTGGTACAGTATAAACTTCTGTAGTCTTGTAAGGCCTGTCACACCTTGACCCATCCATTCATGATCTGCAAATGAAATGTTTTAGACATAACACAAGTTGTGTTTTGAAATGGCCCATACTTGTTTGTTTGTGTAGCGAACTGTTGACTCACAATTTCTTTCATGGAAAATTAAAAGGTGGAAAAATCAAGACCAAATACAAGGAAATACTTTTTCATACAACATGTAATTAAACAGTGGAACTCATTGCCACAGGATGTCATTAAGACAAAGAACAAGATTCAGAAAGGGGTTGGACATTAATGGGTATTGAGAATATCCTGAGTTGTCCTTATGATAATAGTTTTGTGAAAGGGCTATTGAGCTTCAGGACCTAAGCCTATCTGTGACCTAATATGGGGGACAGATTGCCCCACATCTGCTACTGTGGAGTTCTTATGTTTTCCTCTGAAGCGTCTCATTGTGGGCACTGTCAGAGATAAGATACTGGAGTAGCTGGTCCTTGAGTCTGATCCATGGTGGCAGTTCTTGTGGTCCTGTGGAATCTATGACACTGATGTTTGTTGCTAATGAAAATCATGCTATACCTAACAAATGTGAGCAGCTTTATTCAGTGATTGAAGTGTCTGTGTCCCTATCTGTAATACGGGGATGATAATAATTAGTCAGCTTTGTAAAGTGCTGTCAATCTGTAGGTGTTATAAGCTCCTATATAAGTTCTTATAGTTGATCTGCATGTAATAAGATTTTAGGAGTTAGACTATTTTCTATGTTCTCTTAAATATTATGGCAACACTAAACTAAGACATGGGTTGTAAGCTCCTTGGCAGAGCAGCTGTAGATACCATCTGCACACAACAGTTGGTATTGCATGGCGGTTTCTGGAACTTGCTTATCGCGAGGGCCTATGCTGAGTTCCTTGAGCACTAAGATGAAATGTGGTGACAGTGCTGCTTAAGAAATGAAATGAGTGGTTGACAACCAGTCCTTTTTTCTCTCAACAGAGGCACCGTCGCTCATAAAATCATGCAGAAGTATGGTTTCCGAGAGGGCCAAGGGCTGGGGAAGCACGAACAAGGGCTAAGCACAGCACTGTCAGTAGAGAAAACAAGCAAGAGAGGTGGAAAGATCATTGTTGGTGATGCTGCAGATAAAGGTAACTCGATTCCATTCCGTTGGAAGTGGGAAGCTGTTCACCTTGACGGTTTCTAAGAAGGGAACAGGAGTTGAATTAGGGATCCGTCTCAGTGGTGGCTTTTCTTGTTTTGTTTACCCTGTATCTTTGTACACAGTGTCGACGAGTTGTGGAACATTGACGACTGGTGACAGTTTTCTTTGTGGACGTTGAAGGATTTAAGTGTTAACAATTGCGCTGGGCCCTACTGCTTTAAATGTTCAGCCCTTCATTCTCTTCCCCACCACCCTCCCTGTTAAAATGTGCTCCCTGCACAAGCAGGTTTCCTTCACAGCAGGCACCTTTGGTGCAGCCCTCTTTTCCACTGCTGCTTTCCAGCCCAAAGCTCAGGTCAAGAGGGGAGCTCCCTGTGAGCACAGCCCAAGCATGGAGGAGGGGTGCCAGGGGTGGAGTGAGTTGGGACACAATCCATGTAAAAGTCATCCTCCCCTCTACAGTAACACCCTCACTTAACGGCCCTTCAAACCAGCCATCTTCCAGGTTATCACCACTGGGAAATTAAGAGGTAAATGTAATGTGCAAAAGCTACTGCACATCTGTAAATGCTGATTTTTGTTCTGATTTCCTTCTCCTTTGGTTGTTTCCTGGTAACACTTTATAGCAGGGGTGGGCAAACTTTTTGGCCTGAGGGCCACATCAGGGTTCTGAAACTGTATGGAGGGATGGGTAGGGAAGGCTGTGCCTCCCCAAACAGCCTGGCCCCTGCCCCCTATCTGCCCCCTCCCACTTCCTGCCCCCCTCAGAACCCCTGCCCCCTCCCCACCCCCCCGTTCCTTGTCCCCTGACCGCCCCCTCCAGGGACCCCACGCCCCCCCCGACCCCAGCCTCTATCCAACCCCCCCTGTCCCCTGACTGCCCCAACCCCTATCCACACCCCTGCCCTCTGGGACTCCCACGCCTATCCAACCCCCACTGTTCCCCATCCCCTGACCGCCCCCTGCCCCTTACCCAACCTCCCACTCCCCGCCCCCTTACCATGCCGCTCAGAGCAGTAGGACTGGCAGCCACACTGCCCGGCCGGAGCCGGCCATGCTGCCGCGCTGCTCAGTAGGAGCTTGCAGCCCCGCTGCCCAGAGTGCTGGTGGCACAACGAGCTGAGGCTGTGGGGGACAGGCTGGGGGCTAGCCTCCCCGGCCAGGAGCTCAAGGGCCGGGCAGGACGGTCCCGCGAGTATGCCCACCTCTGCTTTATAGTCATGGTTGAAATCATGCTTTCCGAGCAGAGCCCCCTGATCTGAAGTCTGGTGAACCTTAGAAGATCTGGTATCTGTTAAAATTGACTGAGGATTATTGGCAAATATATTGCCTGTATTTCAGCTTGGTATTCGTGCTGTCATAGTGATCTGAACAGCCTGTTAAAACAGAGCCAGTTGTTCTAGTAATTACAAGTAGCCATGAAGTGACTTGGTTCAGTGAAAGGCTGTTACTCCGAGACTACATTTAGTGGTTTGTAACTGAATGCGGCTGTTGGAACAGTTCAATGTAGGCCCCCCCAATGAACATGTTTTACTTTTTTTCAACATGTACCATGACTTACTCTCTTTATAGTCGATGCATCCAAGAAATCCGATTCGAATCCATTAACAGAGATACTAAAGTGCCCAACGAAAGTGGTCTTACTAAGGGTGAGTCAGGAGGACATTTAACTTCACATCTTGTAATATATACTGGGTGTTTCAATTGTAGTGCTCAAACCCCTTTCTCCTGTTATAAAAGCTCCATGAGATGCAAACTTCTTTTTCCCCCCTATGGTGCACTCTGGTCTCATTCTTGTCCTGTTGTGTTGTTGGAAAACACCTGACAGTTGCCATAATACCTGTGATTATTAGTCTTGATGTGTCTAGCGTGGGGACTGAAGAGAAGTTTTGTTTTTTTGCCGTTTCAGAGTACACTGAAAGTACAAAGTTTTGATCAATAACTTGTGATAACACAGCTGATCTGTGCTGTATTAACCAGTTTACGTGACTTTGGGCCATACAAAGGAAACAATAACTCAAGGATAGTGTATTAGTGCCAGGGAGTTGACTGGCACCATATGATGCTAGAATGGGTGGCCTATGATTTGATGAACTGACACTTAAAACTCATTCATAGTTTCACTATAATGCTCCCCCTGGTGGCAGGATGCACCCTTTGTGTAGCATCCATCTGTTGAATTGGTTTTCCTCCTTTTACTTGCAGAACATGGTAGGTGCTGGAGAGGTTGATGAAGATCTAGAAGGTGAAACTAAAGAAGAATGTGAAAAATATGGCAAGGTTGGGAAATGTGTCATCTTTGAGGTAGGAATTAATTTACCTCTTTCTCCACCACATCTATAAAGGCGTAACTTTTCAGATCAGGAAGTAGGCAAAAACTCTGAGCTGGGAGTGCTCGGGACTGTTTGGTTCTTGCTGCGATAGCCACGCCTTGTACATCAAGTTATTGTAAAGTTTGGCATCTAGCAGTGTATGGCTATAGACCTGTTCCAGTGAACAGCCTTTCCCCATAGAGAAGTGGGACTCAGCCTTGGTGGCACTGAGCACCACACTCGATGGGACCACACCTGGTGGCTGTATGTTTTTAATCCTACCTGCTTTTCCTATAAAGCCCAACAGTTCATAGCTGTATTTTGACCATTCTGATCAACTGTCTCTTTTGTCAGATTCCTGGTGCCCCTGATGATGAAGCAGTGAGAATATTTTTAGAGTTTGAGAGGGTCGAATCAGCAATTAAAGGTCAGAGATTGCACTATAATTCCCTGTTAATTTCCAAAAGTTGATTTTTAAAAATAGTTATTTTTTTTAAGCAGAACTGCGTTTAGCTTGAGAATTGCTTCCCTTACTCGGTGTTGAATGACCTGTTTTTGGCTTGGATTCCAGCTGTGGTGGATCTGAATGGAAGATACTTTGGTGGACGAGTGGTGAAGGCTTGTTTCTACAACCTGGATAAGTTCAGAGTACTGGATCTGGCGGAGCTAGTCTGATTTAAGGACCTAGGTCAGGTTGTCACCGTGCCAGCGATTGTGTTTTCAGCTGGAGGCTGGGAGTAGAGAGAAGACGGCAGCATTCCTAGCGAACTGGAAACAAGCCCCCTCGAATGGATTTTTCACATTCATTGTGACTGACGCTTATTTTGTTCTGTTTTTTAAGTATAAATCCTTTGAAAGATTCACATCTGTGTGTTTTGATTGCACAAGTTCTGTTTACTGGTCTGGAATCCTGTTTTTTTGTAGCTTTCAATGAATTGCACTCTCTTGAAACCCACCGCTGCGGAGCTGTTTTCTTTTTCTGGTTTCCTTGGTCTAGTGCTGCAGTATGGAGCGCATCATGTGACATCTGCTGTGAGCAGCAGGCTTTGGAAAAGAACTGTGGGCTGGGATATTTTTCTTTTCTGGTGCTTCATGGCAGAATCTCTACTCAGCTCATAAACCTCCAGTTTCCCCAATCCAAAGTAATTTGGGGACTCTGGACAGGCAGCAGCTTCTCTGTTCTCTTCTGACTCATTAAGGACTTGTTTTAATCTTTTGCATACCAGAATGCAGAGAAAAGTACCAAGAAAAGAACTGAAGTTCTTATTCCTCCCCCGAACCTAGACAAAACACATAAATTAAACCCATGAGAACCGGGAGAGAGAACTTTATGCAACTAGCCATCCAGAGCTGGAGACCTATGTATGAACCCCAGTTTACATTTGGTTTGAAGGTCTCCACGAGGACACTTCATCAAATCGCCATGCTATCAGGTATTGTTGGCTGTCTTTGCTTGAAAGGTCCAGGACTGATATATTAGGAGAGTTACAGGTCAGTAGTGAGGGGCGTGTAAAGCTAGGGGGAGCTGTCGCCTTCATGCTTGGTTCTAGCCAGAGTCATCTGTGTTTTCACTTCCGCTGAACACCAAATCTGTCCACTAATTGTCTTTTTTAAAGTGGCATGGTTATGGCACTTGTAGCTCTGTTTAAGTCTCATTAGAGCTATTCAACATTTTTTAAGGGCCGAGCATTTGAACTCCTCTTGAAATATTGCGTGAGCTGTACCAGTATGTTGAAAAGAATCCATGTATAAGAATCCAAAAGACTGTGAAGAGTTGGATACAAAGAACCCTAAAACTGTTCTGTCTCACATTGACTTGTACATAACAGCTTACTCCAATGTTTTGTGAAATAACTAATGCCTTGGGCTTGGGGCACAGTGTGTGAGTGTGAGTGGGGGGGAAGAGGGCGCCCTGGATCTCTCCCCCAACTTGGATCACAGTAAAAGTGCCACAAGAATCATACAAAGTTTTAAAATGGATACCAGCCTCAAGAGTCTTTTAGCTTGCTGGATGGTGAGTTACTTGGATGTCTTTTCCCCATGTATAAATGTATTTTTATGGGTGTAGGCCAGTAGTTGATCAGTGCAGTGAATATCTTATGTCACTGCATTTTTATCAGCTGATCCCTTAAAAACCAAACACCTTGATCTTGCTGGGGTTTTTTTTTTTTTTTTTTTTTTTTTTTTTTTTTTTTTTTT